AAGTGTGATAATGCATAATTTCCAACACAGCCACAGATCCTTAATCGAGTTTGATCATTTAAAACTATGATATAGCACTGCTGCAGAACGGATGGCTAAGACTATGCCAGATAATCGCGAACATGTCATGGATCAAATATTGAACCCTCGGCGGGAGGATGCAGATCAGATATTGGAAGGTCTCGGAGTTGCTGGTTTCCCCACTCGAGACAAGGTCAACCAAGAAATTGAAGCCAAGTTACTCCTTCCACCAGACAGGATACCGGAGCACTGGCTTCCAACATATCAAATGTACGTGCATGCTCTGTATATGCTTTAAAACCAGCAAATTTGATTTCTTTCACCTCAGAACATGGCAACCCGAGATTTCTATACAGTCACTCTTGAACTCCGAACCCTCTCCACCGCCGACCAGTCTGACTTTCCTGCGTGCGGGTCTCGAAGGACGTGTCATTGGTTATGCAGAAGTGAGCCCTTGGTTATTCTCCCACGTTTTGTACTGTAAACTCGTCCAAGACGCCAAATGCAGTGGTTTCGACAGCGCTCACATCGACATCTATGGACCGTGCTCCTGCTTCAGTCGCCAACTTTGTCAGGGGAAAATCCAGTCATTTTCCTTTCAAACCTGGTGGACTTGACGACGTGATTCTGGCAGCAAAACAGACCACAGCAGCGCCCATCAAAGGGTTGCGAACTGTCCCACCGGGGTTTTCGAGAGGATTGCGACTTTCGGGTGACGATCCGGAAGACGATGCGCTTATCTCTCTCGATGATACTACTGATTACAATGAGGACAAGGTATATTTGTCATTCTCGTATGTATCGTATAGTTGCTCAGCACATATCACTCAGCACAATAATGAAAGTTGCGTGCTGGATGACGAAAGAGATCTCTTACCCAATGGTGATAGTTTGGGAGAAATTGACGAGCTCTTACCAACAACGGTGAGGACCTTGTCGTACGGGATCAATTGATGCTCAAATAATACACTTCCAGCGGACACATCTACGGCCATCAACGGCTCCCCGACGGACTAGGAAACCCAATGTAGTCAAACGCGACTGGGCACATGTGGTTGATATCAATAAGCCTATGACCAACTTCCATGAACTTGTGCCGGATATGGCTCACAAAGTCAGTCATCGTTCTTTTCATGACTCAAAATCTCATGGCCTAGCACAGTATCCTTTCGAATTGGATACTTTCCAGAAAGAAGCAGTGTATCACCTCGAAATGGGAGATTCAGTCTTTGTTGCTGCGCATACTTCCGCTGGGAAAACTGTCGTTGCCGAATACGCCATCGCTCTTGCTGAGAAACATATGACACGGTTTGTCGTGTTCTTTGTATAGCATGTCAGCACTTCAAGTTATTTTCTAGCGCCATATACACGTCGCCAATCAAAGCGCTGTCAAACCAGAAATTTCGAGACTTCAAACAAACTTTCTCGTCATCATCTGTCGGCATACTTACAGGGGATGTGCAGATCAATCCTGAAGCGAGCTGTCTGGTGATGACGACTGAAATCCTGCGAAGCATGCTGTACAAGGGTGCCGATCTGATTCGCGATGTCGAATTTGTGATCTTTGACGAGGTGCATTACGTGAATGATGCAGAGGTACGGTGCCTGCATTATACCCGAACTTACTTTGCTTAGAGTTTGGCAGAGAGGTGTTGTCTGGGAGGAAGTGATCATCATGTTACCTGATCATGTCAATATCATTCTGCTATCAGCAACTGTTCCTAACAGCAAAGAGTTTGCGGACTGGGTAGGGTGAGTAAAATGTGACGCTTGCACGGAAAGGCTTTGACTTTTGCCTGTGAATTTACAAAGGCGAACCAAGAAGAAGGACATCTATGTAATTTCCACGGCGCAAAGACCTGTACCCCTTGAACATTATCTTTACGCCGGCAGGGACACATTCAAGATCGTCGATGCATCTAGGAATTGGGTTGCACGGGGGTACCATGACAATCGATTGGACATTGCGCTCCCTGACGCTACGACTCTAGGTACCAGGATGCTGGCGATGCTCTCAGAAGAAAACAGGACAAGGAACGAGAAGCTGCAGGTCTACCTCCTGTACAGCGTGTCGGTGCTCGAGGCGCTGCAAGAGGTGTGCAGCGTGGCGCAGCACCAGCACGCGGTGGTCAACGCGGCGCAGCCCCGAGTGGGTCCGCACCCCGCGGGCGTGGCGGCGGACAGTCTAGGACCATTCACACTGGGGCAGACAAGAATCTCTACGTGCACCTACTAAATCATCTTCAGAAAAAGGGGCTTCTTCCTGTCGTCGTGTTTACTTTGTCAAAGAAGCGTTGTGAAGAAAACGCTGCAACTCTTACCAATTCAGATCTGTGCACATCTGTGGAGAAGAGTGAAGTACATGTCGCTGTTGAAAAGGCCCTTGCACGACTAAAGGGTAGGCGTAGCGTGTAGATGACTTCGCTGACTGCGTTAATTCACATCCTAGGTTCGGACAAGAAGCTTCCGCAGATCGCTAGGATGAGAGATCTACTATCACGAGGAATCGGCGTTCATCATGGTGGTTTGTTGCCCATCGTCAAGGAGGTCTGAAGAGTCCACACATAACTGTAATCACGACTCACGCGCCGCTGACAGGTCGTAGAGATATTGTTTGCACGTGGGCTTGTCAAGGTTTTGTTTGCCACAGAAACATTTGCTATGGTGCGCTTCTCATCATGTGTTATCGGCAAGGGAATCCTGATGGCACACGCAGGGTGTTAATATGCCCGCAAGATGCGTTGTGTTCTCTAACATACGGAAGCATGATGGGCGCAGCTTCAGGGACATACTACCTGGTGAATATACCCAAATGGCAGGTCGTGCTGGACGGCGAGGTCTGGACCCTACTGGAACGGTGATCATTGTTGCAGGTGACAATCTTCCTGAGGTAAGTTCACTGTCGATTATTCAGGCACACTTTACCAATATCTTTACTTTACAGCAAACATCTCTCTTGAAGATGATGCTCGGCACACCCGGAAAATTGCAGTCGCAGTTCAGGCTCACCTATAATATGATACTAAACTTGCTTCGTGTGGAGGCACTGCGTGTCGAGGAGATGATCAAACGGAGTTTTTCTGAAAATTCTTCGCAGAGACTGCTTCCCGAACACCAAAAGCAAGTTGCAGAGGTATGTTTGTATCTTCCGTTTTTCATACCCGTTGACTCACAATAATCATTAGCATGAGAGGACACTTTCTAAGATGCCTAAACTCGAATGTGATGTATGCTCGGTTGACATCGAGCGCTATTACGATCTTTCTCTTGACGTCGTTGGGTTAAATAATAAACTTTGCACTATGGTGACATCCAGTCCTTCAAATGCCAACCTGCTTGGTCCAGGGAGGGTTGTCATCTTAAGAGACGGCGTATGTTATCTACCAATCACAACCTTAATGACTACTGATCAAGCTCCCGTCTACAACCAGCATTTTAGGCAAGGCAACGTCGGCGTTTTGCTGAAACCAGATCCACGGCAAGCGAGTTCATTCGCGGGCAAGTTATTTTTTGTGCTGGCTATGGTCGACCAAGAAACAAAATTAGGTGATACAGGTATCTATTTAATGACATACGCTAGCACATGAAACCCGTTCATTAAATTTCTAGATGTCGAAGATCGAGCTCTACCACCGAGATGGCCACTGGATCCCACTTCATTAGAAGTCGAGAATCTCACATACGAACTAAGAAGTATCCCTCTCGACAGCATTTCTATGGTAACTTCAGAAACTATGAAGGTATGCAACATTTTTGCTCGGAACTCTGATGCTAAGCCGAAACAGGTGGACGCAACTGGAATCGTCGATCAGCATAGGAAATCTTTGATGCTTGAGATCATCAACTCGCTACAAATTCTTGTCCACAGATGGAGGACTGTTAAAACCATACCGGAGGTTAATTGGGACCGCATACGAACGCTGGATTTCCAGGAGGCATTGCACAGCAGAAATGACCTCGCCAAACGTCGCCAAGGTTTCTCGTGTACACTGTGCGGCGAGTTTCATGATCATGTCAGTTCAAGTCACTTTCACGTTTTCATTCAACTGACTGGGCCGAGTAGTATCTCATTCTCCACGGTCAGAAGACGCTGCGCACCAATATCGAAAAACTCAAGATGGCAATTTCTGACCAGAACCTCGACCTTATCCCGGACTATGAACAACGAATCGAGGTTCTAAAGGAGTTGAATTTTATCGACGAAAATTCGACTATCCAGCTGAAGGGTCGTGTGGCCTGCGAGGTTAGACATAGCCCTGCTACACTGACTCATATTGTCGGCTCACTGAAGTTCAGATCAACTCTGCAAATGAGCTTGTCCTCACTGAACTTATACTCGAGAATACTCTAGCAAGCTATGAGCCTGAAGAAGTGGTTGCTCTTCTGTCTTGCTTCGTCTTTCAAGAAAAGACAGAGGTAGAACCTGTTGTACCGACCAAACTCGAGGAAGGCAGAGATGCGATTCTTACGATCAGTCGGGGCGTAGAATGTGTGCAAGACCGCCACAAGGTTTCAGCGGAGGAATTCAAGACTAGCTTAAAATTTGGTCTCATGGAAGTAGTATACGAATGGGCGAAGGGCATGGTGAGTCAGCGAACGTGCGTAACTTCTGAGGGGCGAAAACTCATAGTCGACCATTTGTAAAGCCCTTTGACCAGATAACGGCTTTGACTGACGTTCAAGAAGGTACGATAGTGAGGGTTATAACGCGATTAGATGAGACGTGTAGGGAAGTCAGGGATGCTGCACGGGTGATCGGAGATATGGACCTATTCAAGAAACTGGAAGAGGCTCAAGTAAAAATCAAGAGGGACAGTAAGTCAACATCACTCTGAAGATTTGTTTGTCTCTAATCCACATGTATTACAGTCGTCTTCGCAGCTAGCTTGTACTTTTAACCATGGTGGCTGTACAATAACAGTATATGTAGTTTTTACACTCCGCGGAATACTAAGACTACTTAAGATTTCTATCCCAACGCAGCGATGTTGATTTTGCCTGAAGTTAACGCGAAACCTTTTCATTTCTTGTACAACTATTCTCCAAGCAAAATGGAAACAGCCTCTCCATGTGATACCGATACAGCCACCAATTCTCGTTTTACCCGTCAAAATACCTCTTCACACTCCACCTGGCAGCGCCCCAATGGTTCTGGCTCCCCGTCATTTGATCAACCGTTGGGAACGGAGAACCCTTCCGCTGTTCAAAATGCTAGCACTGTATTTCAGAGAAGACGTGTCAATCCTGAGAGCCTCGCTCTCCGACTAGGGCCGGATCTTGTCCGTGATCTTGAGGCACTGATACACCCTGGAAACATCGAGATGCCGTCCTTTGCTGTCCGGAAAGAGCTGCAAGAACGTTACAATATCGACAGGAGGCATGTCTATGATTATTTTCACAGCCGAGGCTTGCGCGTGATCAAGGAAGATAAGAATGGTAACACAACCGTACCAAACGATTTTGTTCTAGTGCCGGCGCAATCGGTTCGAACATTTGAATAGATCATCATCAAGAAAATAGCTGATATGTGATCTCTTTTCTCAGCCGAAGCCGAACCTCCGCACTTTGCGCCAAGCGCCTGTAAAGGAGTCACAGAGAGCAACCGTGAACTTGGTATCGAAACTCAAGGAGGCCAAGCCCTCAGTTAACAAACCTCGTGGAGTTACAAAGGCCAGACCTGGCCGTCCAAGGAAATACGCCGTTCGATCCACTCATGACGACCCCCTGCCACCTGCAGTCATTTGTCCGTCATCTCGGATGGCTCGCGCATTTAGTCCAATCCTCCAACCTGACATCCTTCCTGCGAACGACACGGACAACAACCATGAATTTGACATGGCGGTTAGCACTATTGACGAGTCTGATTCATTTGCAGAAGCGATAGACGAGGTCTCTTACACGTATTGTGGCCCACCGGTATTAATGTTCGAGACAACCCCACTCCACACCCTTTCCCAAGCGGTGTCAGATCTAAGAACCGATGGGGCTGAACTAGGTTTATCGCCACGCAAGACTTCTGCCGACCCTTTGTCACCGAACGCTTGTACACTCTCAGCTACTGAGCGGATGGCACTTTATCAACTTCTTTCTGGATCGTTTGGTACTCCTCGTAATATCCAGGAATGCGCCGGTACATACAGAAATTACATGCAGGAACGGTCGCAACTGTACTACGAGGGGCTTCTTGCAGTGCCTTACCGAAACTCTCATTATAATGACCGAAGACGAGCTTCTTCCGACAATCGCCAATCGGTTCCTTGCAATGGCAGCGAGTATAGACGCTGGGTTAACCCGGGAGAGTTCTGCATAATGGACAAGGCTTCGGTTAAGCCGGTCAAATCTGACACGGGTACGATCAGGCCAGTCCTTTCCTTTGACACAGATAACGGGACGCATCCGCTGGACACGTTGTTCCCAATACTTGAGACCAGCGTCGATAATCCAATCAGGGAATCACCTGTTATCCGCAGTCGGCGCCAATCCTATGTACCTTTAGATTTCTATTTCCTTCCAAATGAGGAAAGGGGTGAGGCTGAGGATCTCCTTCTGGATGTAGCATCTAACTCGGGCGCCCCTGAACTTCCCAACCATTCGGTCTCATTACAGTCGAAGATCCGTGGAGGATCTGTCCACGGACATCCGGATTTCCCAGGATCTCCGCCACTGCTGCCTTTGGCTGAACTCTACCATGTCGATGTCAACCCTAAGCGCCCCGCCCCGTTGCCACAACCGGCTTCGAACGTCAATGAAACCAAGAAAAGTCGCCGGAAGAGTGTAGCTCCACAAACCCGCTTCGCTCCCTGTACTCCACAGAAGTCGTACCTACGTGAATGTGACAAGATCAGGACCAGGTCCTTTACGTCCCGCAGCGCTAGAATGCGGACGACTTCTGCTGGTGGAGGAATGTAACAAACAATAGCGGTGACCTTGGCACCGGTAAGTTCGAGATCCAGTGCACACTAAACTTATTGATCGATATAGCAAATGTTTCACGTTTATTTAACAGCAGTTCCACTTTTGACTTAGGCTGTCAATCTGCTTCGCGAACCCCTGAATTCCCAGCGTCACCTCTTAACCATCGCACGACTTGGTCTTGGGATTCCCAGATCCTTAAAGACAGTTTCATGTTCCATGATGACATTCTCTTTACGGTACCATTTGCCAATAATAATAATTAAAAGGTTACCCTGATCCAGAACGCAGTTGCCTTGTTTTTTTTTCAGCCCTCTTTTCGTTTAGTCCTGTTATTTAGTCTACTTCACGTTTTGTTTGTATGTGTCCATAATATCACTAGGTTAAGTAACTATTAACGAGCCCCGAATGGAATGAAGACATGCAATAAACTATGCCCGGTCCAATTATATAGTCATCTAGTTACTAGGCCTGATCAAATACCCAAGTAAAATCTTTTCATGAATAACATCACAGCATGAACAATTGATATGGATAAAAAAATCACCGCCTACTCATTTTCCTATCGCGCCTACAAGTACACATCGGAGTATGCGTAGCTCCTGAGCAGTTTCGGGGATAAGCCGGGCTAAAATGATGAGGTTGAATAGAAGCTCTAGGTGACGGCTCAGCCGTAATCTGGTGATCATATGGCTCCCCGTCACCCTGAGCGTTCCTAGGGTTCGTGCTCAACTGATACCTCACGGCATCGGAGACTGGTTGGCAAAGAAGTGGAAGAGGCGAAAGACTCCGTTCCCGAGGTCTACGAGTGCCTTCATCTGGAAAGACAGAGTCATCAACCTCGGCAGCGGACGATGCTAATTCGTCCAAAGGAATGGGGGGGATTGGGCGGATTGGTTGCGGTTGCAAAATGGGCAGACGGGTGGATGAATTTCGTGTTGCCCCAGGTGTAAGGCCGAGTGGAATTGCATCGGCTAGAGATGATGACGATTTTTGGTACAATGCGGAAGTGGGTGCGAATAATGTAGTCATTGAATTCGAGCTGTCCTGGGTATATGAAGAGCTGTGATGAGGGTATGAAGATGATGTTGGTGACGAATCATTATGAGGTCTTGGGGAATACATATCACTGTCCTGCCGTCGCTGTGCATGGGAGGGTATTTGTCGATGAGACGAAGTAGGATATCCAGGCGCAGACACGGACATTCGCCGGTCTGAAAGCATATATGACGATGATGGCTGCGGCCACCAGGGGCCAGATGACCGTGAACTTTCCCCCAGCGCACCTTCCAGCGCAGAGGTAGATTTCATAACTTGAGGCATGGTTACACCGTAAAACGGCATAGTTTCTTCTTCGATCCCGTCCATCCCCTCAATGTCAAAATCGGCGTCCTCATCTTCGGAGTCAGAATCATCAAAATCCATGTCTTCCCGACTGTCGGGATAGTGGACAAATGGGGAGGACGGCGTTTGCAATGACTGCGTCGACGCAGACGAAGGGGTGTTAATGTCGGAGGACAGGGATGGTTGTGTCGTTAAAATCGTGACTTTAGGATTGATGGACGAAACATGGTGGGGAGCACGTAACAGGCTCGAAATATGACTATAAGCTGACCATGAGTTGAACCTTGGTACGGTCGCAGAGGACTCGTACTTCGGCTGGTAACGTTCGGCAGGGGAGTATAAGCCGTCGGAAGAGTAGGCGCTATCGGGAGAGTGGGAGTGGATATAGGGACTCATGATGTGTGTATGGGGGGACTGGAACTGAGGATGGCAATATATGTATGGCTGCATGACTAGATGATGATGAGGGAAGTCACATTCAGTGTATGATGGAGCAGCAACCAAAGCTGCGCGCGGAAATCGATTCGGAGATCATATACCCCAAGATCAGCCGTAAAGAAGGGTCGAAATCTGGATGTTAAAGAACACAAATAGAAAGGCTGGGATGTCAGTAACGTATCAAATTGGAAGACAGGCGATTTAAAACCAGGCCCGCATCGCTAAGTCGGCTGCTGTTGGCATTTACTTACGGTGGTGGATTGTATAGGGTCTCGAATGATTAACTCTTGTGACTGCGTTACTTCCATTGATCAGTCCCGTAATGTACCGATAGCAAACAACGCAATCGGGGGTAAAGTGGCTCACGAACACGTTGAAATCTGTACTAAGTGATGGCGCAAGAATGGACGCGGAAGTGAATTAGCGACCTTAGTCGTCAAAGTCATCAACCATGTGATATATCAGGAAAATCACCGGTCAGAAAGAAGGCCGCATGTATTAGCTACGGCAGCAAGGTCACTGACCAGTTAACCGTGTCTACAAGGAGTTGGCTTGAGAACCGGATAAAGAATACTGGAGAGAGTTGCTCTGATTGTGAGGGAAAGACGCACCTGAACCTCGTGTTATTGACAGCGCCATGAAGTTCCCTTGGGTGACTGGCAGCCGTCAATAGCTACAAAGCATTGTACCACATATTTGGCATTACTCCCTTTGTTTCCCTCGCGTGATCAGTGGTATTCCCGGAACGGGTGACCTCTGGGCATTTGTCAGGCCCGTGTAGGGGGTTCGTAACAAGATGCGCTTGAGATGCGCTTGCGAATATCAATCAAGGTTGTCCATCAACGAGTGCACTGGCCGAATAAGGAACCTTACCTGTTCCCATGAAATTCAATCTTCCGTTTCATCTTGATCTGATGAAACCTCATGATGCTACTAAGATGGGCCAAGTGTGCCATGTATTAGCTTCTCCGTGATGTCGTAACAGATGGTGCGTTATCGCTGAACTGCGCGCGATCATACAGCAGGAGCCTCAATCAGGATCTAAAACAAGTTAGCATAGCTGGCTAGAGCTGTGCTCATCGTTGGCAGCGATCATGTCGTGTCACAGGTAGTGGCACTGCCAAAATCAAAATCTTGCCATGACTAAATTCTACCATGCACGGGCAACGAGGTCGGCAGTAGGGTCCATGATGGTGTGTGAGGGGGTTAACGACGGGTGTTCTAACTTTCAGGAACCAATGGAACTGCGGGCACAGACCAACTATTTTTATGACTAATTCATAACTAATAACTAATATCCTCATAATCCAATGTTAGGTCCAGGGAACACGCTGGCGCATATCACACAGTCAGGATGGTGTAGCCTAGATGCGGCGCTAGAATGTGTAGTAATTGGTCTTGGCTGCACAAAAACATTCGAAAACGAGGGACTACGTATGGTGACACGAGGAATGCAGGAACTAATAGCACAAAGAAACAGAAAAAAATATGAAAACCTCCAATTATGCATCAAGGGATGCGTATCAGCCACGAAAACATCAATTACACCCACTCAATTGAAACGCCACGATGCAAATCCAAAGACGCATCTTCGGACATGCTGTATTATTCACTCGGCGACAGTCAGCCCTCCCATTGCCCTCTGTATGTCCCTCATGGTAGAATCAAGTCCATTGCCCCTGGGGCTAGTACCTGGACTTGCACCTCCCGTGACATGACTTCCATTAATGACCCGCGGTCCCAGTGCAGGGTGTCTCACACCTAATGCAGCGCCCAACATTCTCTTCCCTGGATCTCCAATCTTTGGTGGACCCTCCGCGTGAAGAATAGCGGGATCATCGTGTGACACGGCTGAATTTATGAGGTCATTCAGAGACGGGTGAGAAGGGAGCGTCGGAAGGGTCGGAGAAGGCTCACGCCCATTGATGAGCCTTGGTGAATGCTCCGAAATAGTAGCATTCAGCACGTGGTTATTCTGGCCGTTTCCGTTGCGTAATCCGTTGCCGTTCTGACTGGTGTTGGCGCTGCGGCTGGGGAAAACAGAAATAGAGGCAGCGCGTAAATTGTGGCCGCGAGAAGCGTTGCCTGTGTGGCCTCTAGTGTTTACTGTCTGAATGACAGTTTGGGCGTCAGGTCCATCATAGGGTTTGATGGTAGCGGAACTGCCGGTAGTAAGGATGGCAGGAGGAAACGCGAGCGTGTGGAGATATGCTCGTTTTGCTGTTTAACCACGTGGAAATAAATTATTCGTAAGACACAGTTTTACTAGAAATCTGATGGCATACCAACTGAGGCATCTTGAAAAACAATCAAGAGGCTCGTATCGTCTCTCCATTTGATCTTAAACCCTCCGCCAATGTTCTCCCATTCCGAGAATGCGGATTGGATATCTTTAGTCTTGAGCTCCTTTGCAAAGCCTGTCAAAGACAAAATGCGCGTGACTGACGCTGATAGACCAGATGTTGAGGCAGATGCCATGTTTGAAACTTGATATAAATGAGCTGAAGACTAAAGTTGTGCTGAAAAAAAAATTGGCGAGGACCGAATGCGACGAGAAAGCCGAATAAGAGAGCAGACGGGGATGATTAGCGAGAATAAATGTAAGGTCGAAATTGCCGAAGTAAACGTGTGCTGGAGATAAACAGTGATATAATCGCTAGTTATTTCCCAATTGATTATCGAAGAAAGCGAGCGTTTCAGTTTAAATGTTATACAGAATTCGGCTGATGAGGAGGAACTATCATAGGAGAGAAAAGCTCGTGAACGAGTCGCGAGTCGACCCTCTAACATTCCTTCCCACGCTCTCTCACCTAGACCCCAAGCTCACAAGATTTCTATCAGGTCAGTGAAACACTAGTCTCTTCAATCCATTCCTTATTCCGCAGCAACCTAGGACCATCTTGAACTGTGCTAAACGTTAAGCTGATCAAAAGTTCAAACAGTGCACTTTGTGTTCTTGTCAATCCTTCCTATTTGGGAAGAGCACAAAGCTGCTCTCGAACATGATCATGGATAACGATTTTCTGCGCGCATGGCTCCTCATCCACGAGCTCAGTGACCAGCTTGCTCATAACAAGAAGTTATCAAATACAATACATTCACAAGCTGCTTCAATAAAAGTCAGTTCTGTCACTACTAATATCCGTTCCTTTCACATTTTTTCACTAGGACCAGGCCGTACATGCCAGCTCAGGTTTTGCTTTGAGGCGGTTTAATACAGACATTTCAAAAGGTCTGCTTGCATTTACGTCCTCCATCCGCAGCAGGGCTAAACCTTGTTCGCAGAAATTTTCGACTCCGAATTGGAGCGCCTGAACGCCCACTTCATAATAGAGAACCAAACCCTACTTCACGAGAACAAGCAATTTAGTATCCTTCTCAAAGAATATGAAAGCACTATGGAAACCATTATGTCCAAATTTCGGAATCATGCGGTGCGTTTGACAGCCCATTGTCAACTCTCCGATAATAACGTTCCTCGAATCTAGTTAGCAGCCCAGCAACATGAGCTTACCCTGACGCGCCACTATGAAGGCTTACTCCTGGCCTGTGACTCCCAGAACCAGTATACGGATCTAACTTCCGAAACCAAGACCGCAGTCGGTCTTCAGCGCCTTGCTCACACCCTCCGTGCATTACATCGCTCCATGTCTGGCGAAGAACCCGAACTAAACGATGATGGCACCCAAGACTCTCCGATCGACATCACTGCTCTCCTCCAAACAATAGACCAACAAGCAGAATCCGAGATCCGGGATGATTGGGCGTTGGAGCGCGAAATTGAAATTTCCCGACTAGAAAAGGAGAATGAGGAACTGCGCAAGATGCTAGGCATTGACTCCGCCTCCTTGAGTGAAAAGGGCATCACACTTGATCTCGAGCGAGAGGAGAGTGGTCGAGTCTCAACATCACTTTCCGCTGCATCTCGGATGCGGAGTGGGTCGTCTTCTTCTGGTTCGCGTATGAGCCCGTGGGCGTTTGATATTGATATGCCACAAGAGCGGGACCCTTGGAGTGGATGGGAGTCGCAGCCTCAACAACAACCCCAACAACAACCTTTGCCCCCGCCACCGCAGCCTCAACGACCACAAACACAGCAGCGGATTCAGCCGCAGCATCCTCCTCAACTTGGTAGTGGTTTGCGTATGCAAGATCCCATATACTCCAATCAGCTGCCGTACGCCAAGACGATGCGACGACCCGCAAATTTATTTTCGCCAAATCCTGGGCCTGCGCCACCGGTAAGCGTGGGCTCAAGCGTAGGTTGGGCGCAATCGACATCGTCTAAACTTGACCGCTGGACCTCGCCAAATATAGCGGATTACAACCATTGACTTGCGGTAGTTCGTTTCGTTGCAGTGTTGTATCCCTAGACTCTTTTGATACCCTTCTTGTTTTGACAGTACTCCTCTTATTGCAACGTCTTTCGATGACATATGAACTACAATGCGTTACCTGGAATTGTAAACTACACGTCAGTTCGAAACGCGCAATTTGCAAATGTCGGACACCTATTCTGTGACCGGAAACAGGTGAATTTCATTACGATCATCCATCTGTCGGATTGAACTTTGGAGGCTTTTGGAGGGTGGTTACCGGCAGGACAAGTGGCTCACAGCAACAATGTCTCGAATGGTAGAAGTGCCCTCTAGTGGCATGCCATGATCAAGGTTTTTAAAGTCATCTTTTCACCTGTCACCAACTGGACAGGTAAAAGAAACATTTTCTCTGCCTGGCCACTAACCTTCTTCCTATTTCACAGTGGACTGTGCCTGCGGGAACAGCAAGCGTGTCACATTGACCATATCAAGGGCTTACTGCCGATACAAAATTACTATGGCAGTTGTGCACGACCGTATATGGGAAGCAGGGCCAAAAGGACCGGATGCTGATTGAATGCACAACAATCGATAAGGCTGAGAAGCAACTCAACATTGGACCTACTCAGCTGGATTCACATGACTGCATCCTTCGAGAACGCCTCACGGATGGCGGCCAGACAGCTGGATATCTGAACCTGCATAATATTGCACTGTCGTCGGTAAATGTACATCATCTTCCCCGGTTTGAAATTCATATTCATGGCCAACCCTGCCGGGGAGTCAAAGACCCGAGACCGAGGTTGTGTTTCACCTCATGGACACACTAGTATTTAAGGACAGAATTTGCTTAGAACATAAAACGAACAAACAAGAGATTGCATTCGATCAACTCTCTATGGCGAAGCAGATACGAAGTACGTAGGAGGAATCGCAAGACAAGGAAGTGGTAATTCTAGATGGATGGGATATCGCAATTGGAAGAGCGCCGGTCAGGTATATAATATGGACAGGGAGAAAGAAAAAATCATATGTACGTGCTCGTGGTGCGAGGGTATCGTCAGCTAAAAACCATTCTATAGATACAGACAACAGATGGACCACCTAGATCATCACTACCACCACTCCGCTCCTCCCACTCCTACAAAACGAAAATGGAAGGTCCCGTTCCAGCAATTAGGATTAAAGAATGCATAAACTGATTATAAAGTCCAGATACCACCACACACATAAGTCCCACCAGAGGAGGGAAGTTATCATGCGATAACAAAGCGGATCTCGCACCCTAGGCCGCTCGGCCCCCGGCCTTCAAAGGCAACGCCAAGCATACGCTCTTTACCGCAACCGAGCCCGCCTTCTCGTCCGCGGCCTTCCCATTCTTTGCCCCGCAAATACATGAGATTCTGGAGTGCACGTAAACGAAGGAGTTCGGGGTTCGCGACGGGCCGCATGCGATAAGCGAGCGCAGTGGGGGGAGTGCGAGGGCGAAGGGGCGAAGGGACGATGAGGGAGTGAGAGGCCCCCGAGCGGTGCACAACTAATGCACTACCCGGTGGGAAAGGAGATACGAGAGGAATAAAGTGAATCGGCTCAGGCGAGGTGGTTGTTGGTGATGGTGTGGTAAGAGAGGTAAATTTCTTCACGTCACCTGGGCGAGCACGGTAGCCGTAGGGTCGGAAATTCCTTCTGTTGGAGGAGCTGGCTCGAGAGTGTGAAAACGTACAAGAGAGGGAGGGAGCGGCGCCAACGGAAAACATGGTCGTAGAGATGTAGGCTGATTGGAGTCCTTTCGCCACATCGACTATCCCATGAACAGAACGACTGACATGTCGAACCAGCGATTTCCCCATGCTCTCCAATCCACGAGACTGACCTGCTAATGAAGGTACCTCGACAGTAGGTCGAGACCATTGCACCTCCTGAGTATGTCTTTGAGCCTTGAATGGCGATAGTGGCGTTTCATCGAGCGAAACACGGACGAAGGAGGAGCGCGGGCTCAAATCTCGCTGACTGTCATAGAAAGTGGGTAGCTGCAGGGATGACGTGGAGCATTTGGGCGAGTCCGAGACAGGCGAAGATGCTTCGGGAGACGTAATGTCTGTTACCGACGAGCGCCAACTGCCAAAGGACAGCCAAGAGTTCGATCGAGACGTGGCAACAGAAGATGACATTGGGGGTATCGAGTCAGTTGAAGGGATCGAAGGTATAGGGGCAGGAGTGCTGCAGAGCGGAGATTGCTCAAGAAGCTGCGCAGGTCGTTCCACGTTCTTGCCTTTCGCCTTTCTCCTTTCTCCTTCCTGCCACTCGACTACATGCAGCAGGTTCAGCAGTAAATCAGATCGCGCAGAGTTATGATGGTGGCGCGAAGGGCTGGAGACAGTACTGATTCCTGCAATACGCCTCGCCTCCTCCGCCCGCTCAGCTGCGTCGAGGGGGAACAGCTTACCGTCCATGGAGGACATGACCTCCTTGAACGACACCGTGCGCTGCTGGCCACCTGAAGGTTTCGGCGTGGTGTCATTACGGAGGGGTTTCGGGGATGTGAGACCACGCTTGGGTGGGGTTGTGCTCAAATTCATGGGCCGCATGAAGCTGTACTGAAATGTATCTTCGTTACGCTTCGAAGAGCATCTCTCAAGCTGTGCCTGCGACAATTTACCATAAGATACAGTGTGACGTTGAGCCATCGAGAACCCCACCCGCGTGGAACGCTGTCGAAGAGCGAGCTCTGCCTCTTGACGCTTGTGAACCTCTGCTATCCGCTTTCGCTCTTCCTCTACAGCGATTTCCTCCTCGCGGCGGCGAATAGCGCGAAGCCGCTCGGTGTGTAGACGGTGCTTCTCCTGCTCCCAAATCCTTTCGCACATGCGCAGGCGTTGTCTTCGTTGAGCCTCCTCCCACTTCTGTTGCTGTCTCCGTCGAGTTTCTTGGACAACAAGCAATTCAGGTTCTTCAAGCTTGAGCGGACCTGATGGTACGAAGCACATATCGAAATCCTCGTCTTGAACTTCATCTATTCGAGGATCATTGTCCGAGGTGACTTCGATCCCTTTAAGTTTAAGAAGCAGGATCTTGGCAAGACGGATGTCATCCAACGCATAAGCCACTTGTACTTGGTCCTCAAGTGATTGGGGAGGTGAGGGAGGCGAGTCATATGAGTCAAGGGAAATAGAAGATGGTGCTGATGATTCAGCGGACCCTAGAGACCCTGAAGCAGTCGGTGATAAAGAGCGGGTAGACGAAGGAGATTTGTCCGCCGACTTCATGGAGGCGGCCTTGGAGTCTGTAGAACGTGAAGGAGAGCGAACCACTGATGATGCATCTGAACCACAACGTTGTTCATGCGTCGATGAAGGATCCGCCTCCTCTAACTTGGATAAGAGAGGTGCCTGTGGCACAAAGAAGTTTGTATGTCTAGCAATTTCTGCTTCCCGCTGTTTCTCGGCACATAAATGATATAGTCTCCGTTCTTCGGATGCCTGCCTGGCTAGTGCCACTGGCGATATTTGGCGTGAGCGGCCGCGGCGCTGCATTGGGGGCGGGGGACGACAGTACCAGCCACCGCTAGGCGGACGGAAAGAAGCAGTAAGCATAGACGGGGGGAAAAGGGAAAGGAAATGGATTCACCGATGGTTAAAAGGGAATTGTTCCACGGGAAGATCTCGGATCTGATATTATGACCGTATGAGAGATGACTTCGGGGATTGCCTCGAGGCAGGAAATGAGCGTCTACAAGTTCGCGATATGAATAAGTGACCCAGGCCACAACAAAAATGGCCGTTCGGAGCCCAGTCTAAGGTTTCAAATTGACCTTTGATAGGCAAGTCTACAGATAAAGAGAATCGTACACGCGTCCTGTCAGTGCCATGCACAGGATAAAATTTTGGCAAGGCCTACCGAGTATTATAGAAAGGCTGTGTTAGACAACGGTGAGTATCGCTAGCAGCTGTGAGGTACGACGTCAAGACCAACCTTTTAATCCTGGAGTATAATGTAAATTTTTTACATTATTGTTGGTCGGCACACCATTGTTGTCAGCTGTGGATAAACACTGTGGAAAGCAGTTCACGGGGTATCTTCCAATCACAGTTACCCGATGGTGGCTGTGCTGAGGCAGGTGCCGTAGTGGGTCCGTAATTTCTCTGCAACGACGACAGGGCTACGACAACTCGGAACACTCTTCCCTTGGTTCGTTAGCCCTGACTTGTAAGTACTTTAGCTCCAATTGGTTGCGCTTGCGGTTCAAACTTTCATCCCTATCCCAGTTATCCGTGCGGAATCATGCCTCGAGGCCGCCCTCTTACCAGCAAGCTGTCCAATATTGCACAATGCTACTCCATGCAAGAGCTTCCTTTGTATTCGTGATCAGTCACCGAGAGTCATGCCTTGCAACGAGGCAGGCCACTTGGTCAGACATCCTCTTTCTGGGGGACAACACGCTCCAACAATACCAGCCCCGTTCCTGACTTTCATATCACACAGTCATCAGTCTAGCTCCCATATCACGCATAATAGTGCCATGGCAGTGATTGTACATCATGTTCTCTTGTCACATTGTCATCGGGCCTGCCCCACGGGCACTAACCGCCAGTGTCCTGCTTATATTTTATCTTGTGCTGTTCAACTGATCAATCTTTGATCGCCGCCCGTGCTTCTGGTATTTCCCCTGCCTACAATCAGCTATTAACCCTTGACTGTTTCCCTGTTTGCCAAATGGTCAAAAACCATGTGTCCTCCATCTAGTGCATATAGGAAGTTGCCACGCACTATTTTCTCCGTGAAATGAAATTGCCGGGTAGCCTTCCAGGAGCACTTCTTAAGAAGTATTTTCCATAACTCCTTCCATACTACCAGTTACACGTCTTCCCCCCTTGTTGTCGATATGTACCCAATTTCATTGGTCCTCGTTTTCCTCTGGACTTCTCCACGTAAACTGATTATCAGCTTCACCATCTCATCGATCTATATGATCCTTATCCTGATCATCATCCCATCTCTCACCGCCGGTTTTGATATATTTGCATCTCAGATATCTGAAACAAAAACAGATCAATTCAAACCGCCCAACTTATCTCATCGGTGATCAGTCAGCCCGCCTGTATTAGCCACATATCTCACGACGTCATATTTGCCGCACATCCTGGAGGCCCTCACACCGCCCCGCTCACAAACACGGCGCCTAGATATCATCACCCTTCCTATTCAGGACATAGCCTGATGGCACGACGCCTCGAGGCTTGCCTCGTGTCCCAGCACTGCGCGCCAGCTATGATATAAGAACGCGCAGCCTTTCTGTTCAATCTGGCAAGTGAAATCACTTTAGGCCGTTCGGGCATATCTACCCAAAGTTTGTTACGAGCTGACTTAGGCCTAAGTTGGTTTTACACATAGCTCATATCCGCGTCACCGGCCTCGTATCAAGGTCACTAGCTTCATATCAATCATGACTATGTATTGCATGGGCTGATAGTGGCGCCGCTCCGTTCCCTCGTAGGCAGTGAAACTTGCTTATCGGTCGCGATGGGACGATGGTTACAGCATCGTTTATTTCAGTAATGACCACCACAGTCCACGGGAACTTTTTACGGGTGAGTGGCTCATTGTCATCATTCTCGGGTTCACACGTGATCGTCGTTGAAAACGTCCGTCGGTTTTCACCGACAGCATCTGTTGGTTCTGATGGTCATCATGCGGAATGCCAGCTCAAAACAGCTGGTTCTTTTTTTCTTCATTATTTTTTCCGTCTTGTACGGCCAATCAGGGTTGATTCTCCGCACCACAACACTCCGGCAGTGCCGGGCGTTACTCGCGAGAACCAAGAAGAACCAAGCAGACCAGCTGGATCATCATAGGTTGTATGGAGACTTCCGGGAGTCGTCCACGTGCCACATCCGGCTTATTGCCGTTTGATATGGAAGAGTCATCTCTTCCATATCGGTTTAGCAAAGTACATTCTTTCGCATCCTGACCATAATGTCCTGAAGTTATGCCCTTTTGTCTCTCATTAATATCAGCTGTGATGGTTGTATTACGTCGAGCGGCTACTGACTAGAGCTTGGCCCAAACCCCTATATAGCCGTTTACGTTCTTCTCGAATTGTACGAAGCAAAGGCCACGTAACACAGGTACTCTGAACTCCTTAAAGCTGTTACACAGCCCAGTGCCTCATTGTGGAGCTCATAATTACGCGGGGAAGTCAGAAACATTCCCTTGTAGAGATCGAGCTCACTCTCTGGGGTCCTTTCAGGAGCCCCATTTGATCCTTACTGCCTGGGGTTTCATTTGAAGCTTCGAAGCCCCTAGCACTGTTTAGTGATGTGGTAAATATGCTATGCTCGCATACCTCGATATGCCATCTAGCTTACAATTGAAGACAGCATCAAGTTTTGTTCTTAATATCCGAAAGACGGTGCAGGAAGACACGGCAGGATCTCACTAACTAGTAGACCAGAAGCTTGCACAGGGGCCTTTTTTAGGTTAAATTGATCTTCTAAGTTCTGTTCTTACAAACGCTGATAATCTGGTAGTGATTCATGGGCTAGACAAGAAGCTCGCACAGGGACCATTTTAGGTTAGACCGTTAGTCTCACAGATCAGGCTGACAATCCGCAGGTGACACAGGAAACTGCTAGTGGAAAGCCTAAAAGTATCACATGTACACGATTCAAGGGAGACTTATCCCTGCGAGGCTGCCGGTACCTTTTTGCGAGCCTCTTGCACCTCCTGGAATCAGGAGGGGGTATCAATTTTGAAATGGTGCGAGCGAGGCAACACAGTCACGCGGCCGTTCCCGCGCACGCAAACTTAGGCTCGACATACGGTATAAATACAGAAGATGGGCGCAAGGTCCCAGTTCAGCAGTCTTGGTCCGTCGACTTATCTTTGCATGGTATATCGAAATTCGAAATTCTAGACCTTGATGAAGCTTATTACCGAGTTGACCTATGACGATAGCCATATTAGTATGGGGGGACATGTATCGGCTCTTGGCTACAAATCCTCAAGCTTCAAGCTCCTGAACTGTTCGCAACCCGTTTGACCGTGAGAGGTGCGAATATCGCAGTTCCGAAATTCACCAAGGAACACCGAGGAATTCGAGCTAACTCTCGTGAGGATATCATGGAATTCGGCGTTCGATGTGAAAATTGCAACCGAATAGATGAGTCATTTACACTTGTAATCTAAAACACAGCATGTGACAACAACTTCGACAACAAGACCATATGTGCAAATGAACAAACGGGTACTACTACTAGTACTATTTGCAGTCTGGGAGTCCCGACGTGTTTAACTTGACCCTGGCATACGGGCGCGTCGCGGCGTTAGGCGATAGCTTGTACTAACATGCGTTATCCGCCACGTGTCACACAGTACTATAGCATATTGCCTCTACTTCCTCCTCTAAGACTACTTGCCTGGGTTACTTTGTGGTTGAGCTTATATACACAGTGGTAGTCGTTCAATGCACTGCTGTCACTAGTCTTGGTCAGTGCAGAGAGGTACGTGTCACCTGATCACCATTTCGGTACAAAATTTCAACGTGTTTCACAAAAACAATCTAAATGGGTATAGAATATTTACTAATGATTTTTTGGCGCAAATAGCAGTCTACTACAAGCCGATTCTTGTCTACCGGCTCCGGCTTCTTCATATCCGGAGTCAAAAACACGTCCATGTTCTCTTCCATGTGCTTTCCCTTGGCCCAATGCCCGGAACCTGGCTTCCATGCTTCACTCCATCCTTAGAGACACCTGAAGCCTGTTCAGTCGACTCTCATATCAAGGTCGATTTACACATTATCTACTTCGCTTCCGCAGGTATTAGGGGCCTCGGAGTACCGTGTGCAGTAACTACTTTTTTGGTGGACTTTGAGCGGGACTCAAGGGATGTTTGCTCGACTGTCACGCAAATCTGCCAGATGGTTGGATGTGCACGTTGAACATGCAATGTCTGGCAGTGACAATGGCATGGTAAGTCTATTCCAAGGTTGTTTACCGTCGTCATCTGAACTGGCGGACGCCTCACAATTTAGTTGGTCGATGTAAACGTGCTCACTTGTCTCGACTTTTCGTGGCGCGGGCTGTGTGGCCAAACCATTGAGCCTGTGTATCGTGGCTTGAAACATGTTGTGGAGGAAGACTTGGACACAGTTGCTAGGCTGTTGTCTGAGCTAGATCCCTTTGGTCAAGAACTAGAACAGGTACGTCGCGCTTCTGTCTGTCTACGTAGTTAAACTGGAACGAACTCTTAGACGAACGAAAATTTAGAAGTAGCTCCGCAGCCGCAGCCGTCGTTGTCGCCGAGCCCCAGAATTTACTTGGCAGAAGAAAGCGCACTTACACGTCCTGAAATTTCACTACCAGAACGACCGAGAAGAAAGCGTAGGCGTTCGTCTGCTTTAGTAAGTCCTGATCCAAGTATGTGCAAATTGATGTTCAACTTGTTTCAAAGGTCGAACCGCTCATCATCAAACCTACACACCCTTCTGCTCCGACAATTATTGTTTCGCCGTGTCCCTCTCAGGCGCGTGAAACCTCGTCTTGGGTACCGTATCAAGATGCAGCATTTGGCGCGCGCCTCACAGTGCCCACATACGCCCCATCAAACAGCGCATTTCCGCCCCTCGTAGCTCCATCCAATCTTGACAACCACGCTGATGACTGGATGTACGTCAACGGTCATTGGTGTGCCGTCCTTCCCACACATGATGAACAGTGTAGAAGAGGGCTGTACTCTAGGAGCATGGTTTCTAGGCGACGTCCAAGGCTACGGCCTCCTTGTCAGACGAACGTTTGAGTCTGTTGGGCCGATCTACCACTGACTTCCTTTGTCCCTCATTTGTTGCATTCGCCGTCTTGGGCAGTTCATTCCATAACCATATTGCACTGTATCTATCATGTTATCCAACTCATATATTTGTTCACTACCGTCGTAGAGATTAACTTATCGTCATGATTCAGATCATTGAGCGGAAATGGGAGACACGTTTACTTGACGTGGGAAATTATGTGTCGTTGGCCTCCTCACCCAGTTGCCCCACAAACGTACAGACCTGTTCTTTATCTCCCCTCCTTTCCTTTCAACCAGAACTGACTGCTAAAGCCAGTTTTATCAGGTTCAGTGCTAACCGGAAGTTAATCCAGTAGTACTACGTATTATAGTAGTGACAACCCCAAGCGTTCAAGTCTCTGACATGTCGCTCAAAGCGCTCTTTTATGCGTACATCTTAGGCGGACTGACACTCATCCCACTTCTCATCCTTATCGTTGTCGGCATCGCCATATACACCTCTATCCCCGTGCAAATCAACTCAGGCAAAGATGCCAAGCCAGAGCCCCACACCGACTCGATTGAGCCACAAGCAGAAACCGAAGATCCTACCTCATCGCTGGATGTCAACGACAAGCCCAGGACGCGCAGTGGTTGGCTCACCATGCGTAGAACGTTTGAGGAATCTGCGTCTTCCGATGGCTCGTACGTCACACTCGTCCGTTCCTACCTTGATGCGCGCTCCAAGGACCCTAAGCGCTCACGCCCGAAGGACATGTGGTACGTTGTCCTTAAGGGTACAGTTTTGTACCTGTACGAGGACGAAAGTAGGACGGAGTGTGAAGCTGTTATAGAGTTGGGTAGACATGAGGTGTCTGTTTACCCTGATGGACTTCTGGACGGGGAGCTCTACACAAAACGGAATGCCATATGCCTGCGCCCAAGACAAATGCCCGAAGAAACAGTGGTTTCGAACGTGGCAAATGAGACAGCACTTCAAGATATTAATATCGATGAGAAGGTGGAGGAGGCAGGTGGAAGCTTGAAGAAGCGGACGGCTGAACGCGAGCGGCTTCTGGAAGAAGAGAAAAATCGGGACGCTGTACGACAAGAGGCGTTGAGCGCATCGAAACCTTGGTTCATCTTCGTGCGCTCCTGTGTCGAGATGGAGGACTGGTACTTTGCGCTCGTGCATGCATCTGAGCATCCGACTGGCACACCCACTCTCGACCCACTCCAGAGCGTATTCCTCCCTTCAGAAATGAACAAGCTTGTCGTGACTCTTGATGAGCAACCTGATGTCATCCCCATGCGCTGGCTAAACGCGCTACTTGGGCGCGTATTCTTCAGTTTCTACCGCACACAGACGTTAGAGTCGCACATCATCGGTCGTCTTATGAAGAAGCTTTCCAAAGTCAAGCGTCCCGCATTCCTCACAGACATTTCCGTCACCAAATTCTCAATTGGAAACAAGGCCCCGACACTTAGCAAGCCGATGTTGAAGGAGCTCACAAAAGAGGGCGACGCATCGCTCGAGGTGCGCTTTACATACAAAGGGGAGGTCCGTGCGACTGTCGAGACTACTGCCACAATCAACCTCGGTGCTCGCTTCAAGTCGTACACCGTTAAATTGGTGCTGGCGGTCATTCTGCGGGAGATAGATGGAAACCTCCTCATTAAGGTCAAGCGGCCACCGAGTAGTCGGATATGGTACGCGTTCACGCAGACCCCACGTGTGGTCATTGATGTCGAGCCCATCGTGAGCGATCGCCAAATTACGTGGAGCATGATACTTGACACGATCAAGTCAAGAATCATTGAGGTGGTGAGTATCTTTGGCGATCCATCATATTAATCACAATCTAATTGTACGACTAAGATACAAGAGTCCGTCGTAATGCCCAACATGGATGATATCAGTTTCTTTGACAGCTCGCCATATTTACATCGGGGTGGACTTTGGTCAGATGCTGCGCGGCGCGAGCAGTCAGAGCCCGTCTCGACTTCACCAGTCGGTGTAAAACCTGCGGCATCCGAGGCAGACATCCCATCTATTTCAGGTACCTCCGAAGATATCATGGCACCGTCAATAAAGCGTTCGGTGTCTGCTGAAGATCTGGTGGTTGATGCATCATCACTAGGAGGCGTGCCAGTTATCCGCTCTGCAACCACTGGAACCTCAGACAGCAATGTAAAAGTCTCTAGGCGGCGGCCTAGTGGAGATGACTCAGATGTGGGCGGCGATGTCGAGGAGTCTGATCTTCGTGGACGACGGAGTCGCGCTACAAGTTCTACAACGCCGAAACAAGATCTTCCTACCAACTCCCATCCAAACAAACCTACTGGCGAGATGGAGTTGGATGAAGAGAGGCCTGAGTACCTGTCACCACAATACCACGGCCGGTCCTCGTCAGCACACTCTCTAGCACGTTCCAGGTCTTCTCGAGCGGATTCTGTCTCTTCTTCAGTCTCGGTCGGTGGTGACGAGTCCTTCAATGGCCCCTCTGACTCTAGTGCACCTTCCAAGAGCCCTCGACCCTCTGCCGGTTCGAGTACAGCGAGCTCCTTGTTCTCTACACTGAAGTCGAAAGCTGCAGACAAGCAAGCGCTAAGTAACACTGCTAAGGAGGCGATGCGTAAATGGGGGGTCAATTGGGGTGGTCTTAAGAAAGATAGCAGTGTCAACTCTCAGGATGACGTGCCGGACGTCGGTCCTTCGGATGCTCGCATCCGGACAGAGAGTCCACATGGGCGCCCCAGCTACGCAGAAGTGCGTGCTGCTGTTGCCGAACGAAGAGAGCGCAGGGACGACGGTGGGTCCACCCCTATTCCCATCCCCAATGGGAAAGACAAGAGGTCCACAAGCCTGTCGAGCGGTCATGTGTCATTATTATCTGGTGCACCTGCATCGCCTCCTCATATGATGCAAGGCGGTTCATCGGAAGGGAGTTCCTCATCTAGATTTGTTGCACCTTCTCTGTCAAAGTCGGCGACGGAAAATGATCCACTCCAAGACCGTGATTTTACGGATGTCACAGAGGAGCACCGCAGGCCATCTGTCATTCACACCCAACCTTCACAGGCGCGGACAATGACTATTCCAGGGATACATGCAAGCCATCGTGGGGAACCCATGTCAATGGGAAACATTGCGCCATCGTCAACACCCCCGGAGAGCAAGCTGAAGGGGCCTGCTATTCAAAGCATGTATCGCTTATGGAAAAGTCCGATTCTGACAGGTCAATCACAAGGCTCGGACAACCAGTCGACGCCTATAAGCGCAGACATGGACGAACATAATGGGGATGTTGCCCCACTTAGCCTTTCTGGCGATGTCGCTTCACCATCTGCACGACCTCTTCCTCCGCCTCTTCCTCCGCGGACGGTATCATCTGTACCACGTACTACGCCTGATTCGTCCAATGATGATGTTCTCTTTGTATCACCTGCATCAGAAGAGATGGGAGGAGCTTCGCCGGTGCAGGGATCATCAAATCCATCATCAGAGACAGATGAAACGTCACCAGCTGTTGGCATATCTGAACCGGTAATTGTCAAAGGGCCGGATAACAGGCCTCCATTACCTCCGCGCAGGTTGCAAACATCCGGGCCAGCAAGATAGCCAACGTTTGAAAATTTGCTAGTTCATGTACGTCACTCATCTGCATTGCATTGTTCTTATCTCTCGCTCCGTACTTTATAATCAACGCACGTATTTAAAAGTCAAATTAGCATACTATGACCAGCCACCTCTGCTCTGATGTGTCGTCACGTCAAGTCCCCGAACGCCGAAAATCATTTGTTTTGAACTTTGAAAATGAAAATTGTTTGACGACGTGGCAAGCCAGCGAAGTAGAAAATTTAAATTACCTAAGCATCGGTCATCATTTCGTAGCGCCTCGTAAAGGCTACGTATTTACTATCAACTTCTTATGGTTACTTTTACCTCTTATTGATGTAAGTACGGACTGGATAGAGAACGTTTGTATCGTAAAAAGTTAATGCTTTCGGTTCGACACGCCAACCGGTTCAACTAATTTGACAGGAGGTTCCGAAGAGGTGGTCGTCAGGGAGTCCGTGGCCGTAACAGACTCGGAGAGCGTGCCGTGCACAAAAGATGGCCCTGGTCCAAGCTTCGACATTACTTACTATTTGAAACGGAAGACCATTGACCATCCATGTTTCTTTTTGCTCTTCTCTGTACTCCGTGATCATCATCAACTCTCTGCAAGTCGAAGATCTAGACAACTCAGCTGTGAACTCAATTCCAAGTTTCATTCTGATATTCCTGTCACCCCCACTACCCCTCAGTTATATAGTAAGCGGCGGGAGGAACAAGTTGCTTTCTAAAAAATCTGGTTCAACTGCCAATTGCTCAGAGACTTGCTTTCCTACTGTCATGTCCAAAATCATGTCCTACACGACCCGTAAGGATTCTCCATCATCCTTTAACGTTGTCTTACCCATTTCAGCTACTACTACTACTTCTCTCCAAATATGCCCCAACCTCGAGGCCCTTCTCCAACATGACGAACTTACCCGCCGTGATAACGGTTCTCCAACTAGTCTTTACCATCCTATCTCGCACTCGTCGGGATTTGCTGTCAGTCTTGGGCCACCACCACCCCGCAATACAGTAAAGAAGGCGGCTAATCACGAAAACCGCGTCAAGGAAATTCGGCGGAAGAAGAGTAACGTTAGGTTTGATTCTTGGCCTGACTCCCTAAGGCCCGCCATGAATAGTCCCGTCGGTCATTCAAGCCCCGCATCCTCTAGATCTACTACGCCCAATCCTTACATCAGACCAACACCCGTCGTGCCGACTATTAATACATTTGGTGCTAGAACAGCAGGCAAGTACTTCTCTTGATCATATCTGGAAAGATAACACGTCAACTCACACGCCAACAGGTCCCACATCACGTCTGTCACCACATAATGATCATGCTAGTTCCACAGAGACAATAATTTCGGTTGCACACAAGAGTGAACCAGATGTCTACCGCACTTCTGCCTCACCGGTACATCCCATCCCTTCCTGTCGCTCGTCACCTACTTTGGATAAGGTTGAGAGAATGTTTACAAAGGGGCGGGAGTCTTTAAGCATTCTCACAAGTGCTGCTATTCCCAGCAGTATGAAGCCAAAACAGGAAAATCACGTTGATTTCCGGCCTCATCGCACAGAGTTGGCAGAGTCTAGCGCTTATCAGTCATCTCTCTCAGGTCAGCTTCTTCTAAATATCACAGTGAGATGCTGACGTTGGTTTATGGCTGTAGTACCCCAAGTGCGACGAGGGCGAGGATCAGGATACCGAGTAATGTCGCATCAACTATCCGCGTTTGGGGATGCAGAGACAGCCTCAACTTCTAATGTCTCCTTCCTAACAACTGAAACGCGGCAGTTCTCTCCTGTGCGAGCCAGGTCTCCCTTCTCCACTGGTACAGACACGAGTGCCAACTCACCTTTGGTTTCATCTCCACGCTCCCTCTCCTCTCAATCTGGCTATTCGCCGTCAACAGTAGCCATATCTTCTAATTCATCAAGCACACATCACGCATCTTCATTGCCTCATTTACGCCCCATATCCCCGATCGAAATGCCACTTCTGCCTTCGCTGCAGAAACGAGCAAGTAATGACCAGCAATCATTCATCGATTTTTTCTCGCCTTCTTTACCAGTTCTCCAGCATGTGCAGGACGACCCATCTATTATGTCCACTCGCCGTCCATCTTCAACGCCTATATTATCTTCAAGCATCTATTCTAGTTCTTCTTGTAATTCATCTTTGAACGACCTTCCTAGCATGGTTTTTGCCCCGGCCAGTCCTACTTCTGCCGCTAATGAAGTTTCCGATTCCCCACAACATTCACGACGGAGCTCTTCGGCATCCTCATACTCAAACGTTTCGGCAATGATATTTGCTCCCACAAGCCCTACTTCTGGTCCATATTTGTCACCTATTTCCTATCGTCCTGGTTCACCATGTTCTTCTGCGACCTCGCTTCCAACGCCCGAATTTGTACCTCCCAGACCTGCATTCCTTGACACCACAGATACCTTGAAACCACCCATTCCAACTACTGCGAAGCCTGTGTTCGAAAGAAGGGATCGTAGACCCCGTTTCCAGAAACGTTCTCTTTCGACTTCTCCTCAACCACCCCTTCGTCTCAAAGTACCTCTACCACCGACGACCAACACACTTGACGCCAACGAGCGAGCTGATCTTATACGGAGAAACCGCAAGTTGGCGCAACTGTTAGGACAAACCCCGGCTGTTGAAATGGCTGCGTCAGAAGTAGAAGAATCACGTTTATTTAAGATGCGACCACAGCCCCCCTTCTCTGCTTTGCTGGGGTCATCGAAGCAGAAGCATCATCGTCATGCGATGTCTGTATCTGTTGCCGTAAAGGCTCCCGGTTTCAAATCCGAACCGACATCGTCATGGCAAGTCGTAGACTACCCATCAACACAGAGCGGTCGCAGATATTCCACTCCCTACACTCCACGTAGCTTTACCTTCTACTTGGATGATTCACCGGAGCCACCGGCCACTCACGATCATCACGGCTCGTACCGCCATTGGGATCCGCAGCACCAATATGGTTCTCAAACTTCTTTCATCGATCTTTCAGACGAAGATAATTCAAATGATGCTTCGGATGCGATCAGTTTAGAAATGCCGGACACGGCAAACAGTCGCCGAATCTTCCATCATTCATCCTCGACACCATCTGTAGTGGAGACGTTTACGCCCGTGGAACAAGCCGAAGCCGAGAGAAGAAGAAAGCGTGACAAACTGGCTAAACTCCACCGTTTTCTCGGCTCGCGCGTCCCTACGGACTTGGTCATTGGTCATATAGCTGGTCCGTCTTTACCTCCATCGTCGATGCCTGTGGACGGCCGCGACATGTGGCTTTACAGGCGAAGAAGTGGTTCATCTGCCCTATCGTTTGAACGTATCAAGACTGAGCTCGATAATGAAGAGAAGGCTGTGAATGTCAGACGTGCTCAGAAAATGGAAAAAGTTTGTGATTCCTTGTTGCTCGTCGTGGGTAAGGCTCATCATTTTGATCAGCTTTTCGGGATCCCCCCTCCACAAACGTTGTACCATACTCGCCAAGTTCCTGCAACAGTGGCCCGCTCTCAACCGGCATCCCCTGTAGCGTCGCTTATGACCCCGACTTACGTGTCCGCCCATACTCCTGGTCTCTCTCAGCGTAATCCAAACCAGACCGCGTACATGAAAGGGAAGAAAGTGCATCGCCCAGGAACTTCGGATTCGACTACGTTCCTACTACCCTTCAAGAGTGCTAGCTCTCCAGAGCCCGGTCAGACGTCTGGCTATGCGGATACGCTTGCACAATCTTCTGTGTACATGAACTACCAACATTCTATCGCGTCGCTGACAGACATAATTGACCGAGTGAGTGAACAGATGTGGAATCATGTACTGCACTCACCATTTTAAAGGATGACAGGGCGTCTCTTGCGGAGCTTCATCGATTCCTCCACGGCGATCTAGTGGAATCTCCGACTGAGGAACAGCCCTTGCTAGAATCTCATAGGATTTCCGGCTCCTCATATTCGTTCAAGTCGGAGCGTAGACTTTCGTTACCAACGCGGACATCCATAGCGTCGTCGATAACTACCGAGTTACCCATGTCATCGCCCCAGGAGTCATCTGACTTCCAGTTGCGCAGGCGACGAGCTGCCAAATTAACGCATTTCTTCGGCGTGGATTATCGTGAGCTTATTCATGATATTCTAGAAAGCATCGAGAAGGGCGTAGACGAGGAAAGGAAGAGAGGGACGCTTCGGCCCGAGGAAGTTGAAGTGAGTTCAGTTATGTTTCATGAGATTATCCACTAAATGTTTTCTTGACAGTCTTTGCTGCATAAGCTTCATCACCTTCGGACAAGACAGGATGGGTTTTTATTATGATGATCAGTACTTACTATACTACTATTACACTCTTTTACTTGTCTCAAATGTTATGTCGCTTTGCAATTGTCATGTGTGATCCTTCTTCAGTTTGAAGCTTGAAGCTTGAATCTCAACGTGAGTATTATGAATGACACGTATCGGCCACATGCGAAAGTCAACCTTCGTAGTCTAGATGTGTTAGATGCAACTAATAACAGGTATCTCATAGAATAACTAGCTCTCCATCACACGAATGGCACCAGAATATGTGAGACTCGTCCATAAACTGTGGTCGCCGGTGTATGTGCTGTGCATGCCAGGAAGGAGAGTCGGGCTCCTGTCCCGATACTTCGTTACCTTGTGGAACAGGCGAAAGCTGTCGCGACGAAGGATAACCACCAGCTGATGCTGCAACCTCACTATCAATACGCGCTTTTAACATGCCAAGGCTAACTTGACGCTTGTGACGAGTTTCGGGTGAGAGTCCAACGTCAAAGACAGTCCGCGGGGAAGGTGGGGCGAGATTACTTGATTTGTGAGTGAAAGACCCACGTCGTAAATCAATGGGATTAAGGGTGCGACTGGAGGGTCTGCCCGGCACTCCGGGAGAAAACGGTCTTGAAGTTGCTCTCGACGTGGAGCGTTGTTGTGCTAGCTGATCCTCTAAGATGTTGATTTGCTTCTGCAGGCTATGCGACTTTGCCTGAGCTTCGAAGACGGCGGTCTCCAAAGTGCGAATTTGGGAGTTGGCATTGGAGAGATCCATAGCATGTTGGACTCTGAGTGCACCGATCATTTCGTCATCCAGTGAACGAGGAGCAGCCTCGTCTGATGAAGAGGTTCGAAGGTGCTCTATCTCATTATCCTTGGCGTTCAATTCTGCCTGCAGAGCTTCATGCTCGTAGTTAGATCGTTCAATGAAGGCACGGTGTTCCTCGTCAAGGTTCCTGTACGACCGAAGGTCCGACTCCAAGTGGGACATTACTTGCGAGTGCTGGTCGGATTCCACGGAGAGCCGGTCAATGACTTCTAGCTGACGCGCCTCAATTTTTCGCAGCTGTGCACGGTCCCCCTCCAAATTGAGCACTGCCGCCTGGGATGACTCTAGTTCCGCCTGCAGTTCGGCATAGCCCTGCTGTAGCTCAACGATTGACTGTTGCAGTGAGACTTTGTCCTTCTCATGCAACGAGTCTGCTTCTTTGCGAGTTTGAGCTGCCTCGGCCTCCCGCTCCATCGCCTCGCTAAGCGCATTTTCGAGTTTCGAGATGAAAGCATCTCGTGAAGTTTTTTCATGTTCAAGCTTGTCGATTCGTTCCATCAAATCCAATTTGGTGGAAGTAAGCTCCACAAACTTGGGTCGCATCTCATCCAGAGATTGCATCAACCTTGTGCCCTCTGTCTGTAGATCTTTCTGCGTCCTCTCGGCTTCTTCAGCTCGCCGATTGGCAGCCCTGAGGTCGCTATGGGCATTCTGAAGAGCACGGTCGCTCGACGATAATTCCGATGCGACCTCACCAAGCTTTTGCTGAAGCTGCTTAATCGCGCTTTGGTTGAAGTTAACCTGAGACTGGAGTGACGCGCGCTCTTCAAGTAACGCTTCACGATCTTGGCTGGCAGAGTGGATACGTTCTTGGAGGGATGAGTGTTGCTCTTCGAGACTTGCGTGCTTAGCCTTCCACTCCGTTTCGTTATCAGTCCGCAATTGAAACTGAGATTGTAATTCATCCTTCTCGTGTCTCGCGCTCGCAAGAGTCTATTTGTTTGGTTAGCACTAGCGGATGGAGAGGTAAATAACTACATGCCTGTTTGAGCTTAGAGAGGTGAAACTCGAGCTCTTCAGCGCGATCCTGAGTGTTCTTGAGTGACTCCTCCAGCCGTTCAGCACGATCGTCACTTTCTATTTGCTCCTCGAGTTCACGAACACGTTGTTGATGCTGTTCGGATCCAGACTTCACTTCCTCCAAAGAAGCATTGAGAAGCTGTAGTTCTCTTTCCTGAAATAACTTTGAGCGGGGCACTCTTGGTGGAACTAGATTGCTCACTTGATCTCGCGACTTTTCAGCTAGGTCTCTTTCTCGTATCAGGGCTTCTTGTAGCTGCATGTCGAGCTTGGAGGAACTGCTCTCCAGGTCTTTGACGCGTTCATCGAGCGACTCCGATTTTTCGCGTTCAGCCTGGAGCAATCCACCTTTCTCTTGTGTCTCTAGACATAAAACACAGTTAGACGAGAACGTCATTGAAGTAGTCAACATACCCATCTCAAGCTCCTCCAGACGAGCAACTGAATCCAGCAATGATGTCTTTTCTGAAACAAGGAGGGAAATGGTCTGTTGATGGTTTTCATCCTGCTCGTTCCGACGTTTAGTGAGCTCCATCTCTTTAGAGTGACAGTCTTGGATTTCCACGCGTGCTGCGTCGAGCTGGTTTGAAAGCTTCTCGACCTCTTCCTTGTGCAAATTCGATATGCGACGGTGATCGTCAAGTTCCTTTGCATGACTCCGGCGAAGCTCATCAGCCTGGGACTTCAATCGTTGAATCTCTGCCTGACTTGAGTGGTACTTGTCTTCCAATGACCGCTTCTCTTGGACCACCACCTCTGCACTTCTTGACGTATCCTGAGCACGCTGCTGTTCCTGATGAAGCTGAAGCTTAAGTTTGCTCTTCTCTTCTTCGAGCTTCTTTAGCTGAGCTTTGGTGCCTGTGACAGCGCATAAGACTCAACCGGCATAAAACCATAGACTGACATACCTGCCTCGAATGCTTCTAGGCGACTTAGCGAACTCCGCAAGCTACTGTTCTCACTTTGAACAGAAGCAATTGTTGTTTGCAGGGATGTCACCTGAGACTGCAACGACTCAGCTTGCCCAGAAAGAAATGATGAAGTAGGCGTATTTGTTGACAGAGCATTGGAAACTGTCGAGTGCGGCACGTTCGCTCTGGACAGAGATTCTATCCAGTTCGCGTCTGAATCTGCTGGTGTGAATCTAAGATATAATGAAAGTAGGTTGAGCGCGATAAATGGGTCAGAGATCACAAACATACAGGTCAGCAACATCATTCTTGGTGTCCTCCGTGGATGGTGCGGACTCCTGGAGAGTAGGAGTAAACGACCTTGACGGTGGTGGACTTGCCAACGCGCCGCTACCAGCAACCTTTTTCCGACGTTGCTTGTTGAGCTAAAGAAATACGTGAGCCTGTGAAATAGCTGAACTTTCCGAGGATACAAACCAAGGCCTTTGCCCTTGCGGTCTTCGCGGCGCGATCATCATCCTCAGACATTTATGAGAGACTGAATCAATCGTCAGTAGTAGCCAACCTCGAGTGCGCAATGAAGGGAGAGCAATTCAGTGAAGTGCAACAGTAATCGGAAGAGCTCGTGTTTAAGTCTGCTGCACAACAGATAATGGTAGACTTTGTCGCGACCAAGTTACGGCTGGACACGTTTCGTAAAGTTACACGCCCTTACTGCAACTTCAAGCAAGTACTGACAACACAAGTGAATAATAGGCTATTATAGGCCATCCCGATCTTCTCAATTCACGCACGACAAAAAAGCAATTAGTAAAAGAAACCTGATTGCAAGGCCTAACCATGATGCCATCGAAGTTATGTTGTACTAAGAACGCAACATGTTATTGGGTATTATAATTTACTGCATTGGAACAATAGATAGAGACCTCGACAGACACGTAAGTCAGATTATCTGAGACTGCAAGCAGCTATCATGCATGTTAAACAGGAATACCCTGTGGCTGGCCAGAATACACTGGCTGAAATTGCTGGGGTTGCGTCTGGTGTGATTGGGGAGACGTGCCACTGTGAGTACTATAGGTCCCTAGCTGCTGAGGCTGCACAGCAGGAGCATACCCCGTAGGAGGAACGCCCGAGTACTGACTCAGAGGAACCTGCTGTTGTATGGGCTGCGATTTTTGCCCAAGGAATGTGGCCTCTTTGACAGAATACGTCCAGACACCATTGCCGCGAGTGGATCCAATGATAGAAAATGCCAGCAGTACGCCAGTGTAGCCCAAGACTAAAACGACATCGTTAGGAGAAGACTCGACCTAAACGACAGGAAAACTTACATATAAAGAAGTTGAGGAATGCGAAAGCCTCCACTGCCTGCAACTCCAGGCAATACGTTTCGGCGTCGGAACCTGGTAGTGACTGAGTATGATACAAATGACATCTGAAATTTACGCACCATCCGTATAAATACAACCTTGAGGGTAGTAAAAGTTGAAGGTGGAGACAGCTTCGCCAGCAGTGGCAACCCACAGAATCGCAAGGAGGACTGTATATGAGAAGAATTAAGACTAACACACATTATCCCAAATATAACACATACAGAGCCATGAGAGCTCGAAGACAACCATGGAGGTGAACGCCCCACGTCGTATAAAATCAACGATCAACCTGTGAACAACTGAGACAATCAAAGTAACCAGACATAGGCATACGCACATGACCGGAATGGTAAAAAGTGTCAACATCGCGGTTGCAAGGCCCAAAGCACTGAAGGTGAAGTAGAAATCATCTGGCACCGTCAACGAGATGAAGTAGGCATTTAAGCCTAATGCAATGAGGGAGAACGCGATAGCCGTTGCTGTACGATTACATTCGAAAGTGAGCTTCTAACAAACAGATTCAGAACTTACAGAAGAGAGTGATGCGAGCTACGGAGAACCATCCTAGGGCCATATTGAACAAGGTCTCTAAGAAAATCGTTCAAAGGAAGGGACGCAAGGCGAGGTCTCCAAACCGAACGTTCAAGCTTATATTGGTAGACTCCCTTCTCACATAAGTCCGCTCATGCAGGAACAAGGTCCCAAGATCAAAACGTTAGCAAGGTCCGTTTCTGTTTCTGGGCATCCAAGTACTTACGTTTAGCACTGGTTTGGACCAAGATTTTTTTTGGTCAGAGCCTTCGCATACACGATCAGGCACTACATAGTTCGTCACGGTGCATATTTACTAGTAGGTCCTCAGTCTAGTCGAGATGCGATGGTTGTTTTTGTTCATGCTGAGCAGATTGAAAGTTTCGCACAAGCTTGATGGGTATCATAGCACCTGGCCGTTCATCACCGCGTAGTAAAATCAAGACTTTTGTGCCTGTCGACAATCAGTGATCGACAAGGGTAGTACTGACTACCGACCTTTCGAACATGATTCCTGCAAAGAGGAAAGTTTCACGCCTCCCACTCACTCAGCACCAGGCTCGCTTGAACTAAACGTAACAAGCTTGAGCGTACCATGTTCCGTTCGTGACCAATATTATTGCTGATAGATTGAGCCTCGTCAAGGCTATGCGACTACACACGGTTTCATAATTTCATTGACTGTGGCAGTCAGTCCAAGTCGGATCAAGTCATTTTCACTTTGAATTTGGTACAAGACAGCCCTGACGCGGGCACAGTGCCTGGACAGAGACTGCCCATTCGGGGTCTCCACGGCCCTTAGTCAGCACATATTTGTAGCTTGCCGCCGCTCCTGCTCCACTAGCATCTACTTATGTGCCGTTTGCGCGTCTCTCCCATAGTCCCTTAGGCCTTAAGTGGCATGCAATTGTCTCGCAACAAGAACTAACATCCAAGAAAACTCAGCTCCCTTTTTCGCCGCTCAGTTGCTTGACCACATGCTTCAGTTCACGGCAGGTCAGAGAAGGGTTCGGCTAGCCATCACATCGTTGGACCCACTGAACTTAAAACAGTTCCAGTAGTCTCTCTTTCCGCATCAGTATCAGTCCCACCATTCAATCCGACGAACTCTTATATATAGAATAGTATTCCACAACTACTAATCCCTACCCGGACTCCGGTTTCTGTCAGCCAAAAGTTATGGATCCAGTCGTCTTCGGAGATTGGCGGCAGCATGTCCCAGGATTATCGACAAACGGCTCGCCCCGCCCAGCGCTCGACCGGTAAGCGGAATAGGTGGCGATCTACTCAGGGCCGCGGGAATACCTGTGTGTTCACATTGAGTCTACTTCCGGGTTCTAGACGAGGAGGGCGCTGATGAAGAATGCGATCGCATGTGTGCACAAATTGTTGCTGTTGGGCCCTGCAACCATTTGTACTGTTGATCACGTAGTCTTGCGTAAATGAACTCCGTAAGGGCAGTGGACCCGTTCCTGGGTTGTATCTGGCAGCCTTGCTGTGAGGCTACTGTACAGACGGCCGCGCACTAGTCATGTATAGCGTATACAAAAGCTTGAATATAGGCGCGTTAGACGTCATGAAAACGTCGACATTATGTAGGCGTTTTAGGCTTTGTTGTAATGAGTGCAGAAGGTCATAGGGTACGGGTTTAATGGAAGGTCCTGATACCTAGTCGAGGGTGAACTAGAACTGTCGTACAGATAACAAAGACGCCCAGGCAGCGACGTCGATATCCTTAGTCCTCGCTGACAGGTAAATCTAAGTTTAGTGATGAAAACTCGATACGTACTATCAGGGAAATTTGTCATGAGGTTGGGCGGTCCGCAGGGATGTCTGCAGATTTACTTGAGTCCAGAGCTTGGCGCTCTTGGTTTGAACGATCGTCAAGCCTATCGGAGTCTCCACATCTCTCTAATCGCCTTTACTATCATTGTTCAGAGTCGGAATCACGAACCGGCCTCGTTTTAAGGAAGTTGTGCGGAAGCTTGATGGCGCAAGGGTGCGTCAAAACAAAACAGCAAGCTCTATTCTTTAGTCGATAACGGACATCTTTCGATGTATAGGTCGGTGTTGGTGGGTAACTCATCCTTGAGTTTTTTCACATGCGCCTTGAGAGAATCTTGCCAGGTATACAATTACTTTTGGGAGTGGGATGAAAACGAAATCGCTGCTCTCAGCGTGGGACAACTGTTTTGCGCGGGCCGGACGGTTTCAACTTTTAGCTCAACCTAGTATGTACCCACCAGTCACTAGCAGTTCCAAGGAACGAGCTTAGTCCATGTTGAACCCCAGTGATTGGTCTACTATCTCTCAGTCGACGGAGCCGTGTACTTCCATTTAGGACGGCAGTGTTGCGACTCACAACGCATACTGCGTGTCGAAGGTTAGTGACGGAGCCTTGTACTTCCATCTAGGCCCACATTGTTGCAATTCATATGGCGCACCGTCTTCCTTCTCAAGGTTCTACTAAGAGAGACCAACCGACGTCATGATGTCTCCGAGTAGGTTTGGAGTCTCATACTAGTGTATCTTCACTATGAACTTGAAGCAATCGTAAAGCGCATGGAAATGGTGGTACAGTACTCTAGTTATAACCCTTTTACCGAATGATGAAAGATTCCAAGTATACTGATCGTTGTCTAGAATACTTTCGGGTCAAACCCAAATACAGGGTAAAATCCAGCACGCCCAATAGCAGTTTGTTACATTCTTACAGCACCGCTTGACCCATAGCTCCAGAATACACGACCCAGAGAACAGCTACGATGAGCACCGCTGCCCCAGAATCCTTTACAGGATACAATATATGGCGTTCATTGTCCGATTCTGCAACTGTGGAAGACTCATAGTGAGCAACTCCAATGTTACGACTGTGTTGGCCATTGCCTATGGGGTACTATTGGCTGCGAGGTAAGTAATTGGTGTATGTGCTTCCTTGATATAAATGAGACCGCTGGCGTATTCATAAACCAACTCCTCCCTATTTTCAAGCTCAAGTCTGAATCATTGACTGCCATGGCACGTTACACCCAAGACCAGAATTACCGCAATGGCAGGAGTCGCCGCAGCGGTCAACAGCATGCACATGGTCGAGGGGATGGGTATAACACACAACATGGACAAGATGAGCATGTCGCTCTTGACCAGCAGATACCTCGTGCGTCTATACATATTCACTATGTGATAACTTTTGATTTTTTCCCGCAGATCATCGCATGCAGTTAAACAATTTTCTGCAACATAGATTCAGAACTACGCAAGGCTTGCGGATCGATAGCTCATCAACTGGTCCCGGGCACGCACTGCAATGGACCGTGATCGTATACTGTAAGCTGCTGTTCAAGCGCTTCCTGATACATGCCTAATTTATCCTTAGTCCAAGACAATGAATATGGCAAAGGCGAGGGGGCAACCAAAGCGTTTGCCACAGAAATTGCTTGTCAGTTTGCTCTGCAAGCCCTCATGCAACCAGGGAATGGCCATTGAGTTCCTATCGTTGATTTGCCGTGTAATTGCTTTTACTGTTTTGTTATCATTTCACCCTCTCACAGGAGTCTTCTGGATTTCCGGATAATTTACTTACGTGGTTCTGTCGTTTGTGATCATCAAACTTGTATTTTCTTCTTCAATGTAGTCCCCCCGCAGTCCCCTACTTGTGTTACATTTCTTTATAGTTATCGCGTCTATCAGAATTTCTAAAATGAATATCATGAAGGCGTGAATAACTGACAGCAGTGAAACACGTGGCTGTGCTACTCCTCGGCTTCAGGTTGGGTGAGAAGAACCGCCGTGGCCCGAATCGCTTCCCGTTCCCGTACAAAATACTGTGCAACAACGTGTAATCGTTAAAGGCATAAATGCGTATTCCACATGCCTGCTTTTCACTGCACAGGCCCGAGCGCACGTCTGCCTGGTGCCACTTTTTGATCTGTTACCGCACCCTGAGTACATATGACGGGCGTAATGCGCGAAAGTTTTAACAACAGATCCAATCGCAGAGGTCCTCTAACATAGTCACACCGAACGGGATTAACTGACTTATCACCGGTTCGTATAGAAGTGTTTACAGACAATCTTGCTACAGTTTATGATTGACTATGCCCCACAGTATCGTTTGAACTTCTCCCGTACCCACTGGCAGAGGAAATGTGTATCATTCATTCCGAGCTCGGTCGTAAGGCGCTTGGAACGATCCACTGCACAAGATACATGAGGGGCACATGTCACTTAGTCCCTCGCATCTTCTCACTGAGTCGATCGTCATTGCATGCAGCTCGCCCTATTTCATGCATCTTGGGAATTTTTGGTTTTCCGCCCGTTATGTTCCTCAACGCCGCGATCATGAAAACATTATTCTCCTAGTTCCATCGGGCATTGCCTCCACTCAACACCGTCTCTCTTTTTCCAAAGTCTCATGAAGCGTACGTTTGAATGGTATAATAACTGTCAGTGAGTTCAGGTATGGTCATCAACTCAAACATTCGCAATGTCTGGAAGGAACCAAGCTAATGGTTTGTCACAGTCCCTTGCAGTCCTCTGCCTCAGCTGACGACATTTGAAGACTCCACAAATGCGCTAAACAACTGTTCGTGCAATTGCTTTGGTGATCTAAGAGACTTACTGTAGGTTTCAGATCTCCAATCCATTGGACAAAGCTCCGCATTAAGCTGGATAGATGTACGAGAGGGCCTTACTCATCAATACGTATGGACCTCGACGTGTAGAAGCAAGTTTTTTTTGTCCTTGTATCCGCTTATCAGACATCTCTGATCCATCATTCAAGTTTCCGGTGTTCCTTATGGAGTCGGCTCGGGGACTCATAAACATCAAGCCAGAAATGTGGCAGCTAGTCACGCGCTGACTGCATTAAGGTCTGATCAAGGCTGAATGACAAGTTACCGCCGCGGAGGCATGTCAATGCGTTAGTCAAGTTCATGTTGGATTGATTATCTTCATTTGTTGGCATTTCCCCCTTTTTTGCAAGTTGTGCATTTCTTCTACGTTCATCCTTATGTATTTTCATTCATCAATATGCATAACCAT